TTCGTGACACCCAAAATAAGGGGGAAGGGTGGTCCTCCCCTAAATCCACCACTGCTATGTCATGTTTCACACGAGTCATTTTTAGCCCCAACCCTTTACCCTTTTGTATACCATTTTGACAGAAGAGGTACCCTTTTCATATACCTTAAGTTAAAAAAAAGGTACTCCTTTCACCATTTTCATCCCCAGAGACTGCGCTCCTTTTGGTCAGCACCAAGAATCGTGACCTCTGGCGGGACCCAATTTTCCGAGCATGAGCAACAACACCAGAAGTCCCTGATTCATGGACTTCCCATCAAATCTGACAAATCCAATTGGCTGAGAATATGAAATGAATGCTCTGTGCATGCTCAGAAAATTGGGTCTGGCCAGGGCTCGTGATTTTTGGTGCTGACCAAAAGGAGCGCAGCCTCTGGGGACGAGAATGCCCTTTCACATACTTTTATAACTGGCTCGTATTATGAATAAATGGCCAATAAAGGAAGTCTTCTTGTCAGTTACGTGTAGTGCCCAATTAATGAAGTGATATAGACATAGGGTGCATCTGTTAGAGATATTTTAATAATTTTATGGCCCTTTTAAATAACTAAATGACAGATTTCACGACGCTTTCATACATCTCAACTTGTAAAATCCCACCCCGAAAAAGGTACTTCNCTCAGAAAATTGGGTCTGGCCAGGGCTCGTGATTTTTGGTGCTGACCAAAAGGAGCGCAGCCTCTGGGGATGAGAATGTCCTTTCACATACTTTTATAACTGGCTCGTATTATGAATAAATGGCCAGTAAAGGAAGTCTTCTTGTCAGTTACAGGTAGTGCCCAATTAATGAAGTGATATAGACATAAGGTGCATCTGCTAGAGGTATTTTAATAATTTTATGGCCCTGTTAAATAACTAAATGACAGATTTCACGACCCTTTCATATATCTCAACTTGTAAAATCCCCACCCTTTTATGTACCTTAACCCTGAAAAAGGTACTTCTTTTATGCGGAGCCTCCCCGTATAGGCCATTATTGGGAGTTCCCCCAGGATTTTAGCTCCTAAATAGCAACGATTAGCATAAACACAAGGTGATACAGGTGGCTGTTGTGCCTGCATCATCCTGGTCTACAACATGAAGCAGCAAGAGCATAAAAGAAAAAAAGACTTCCTCAGTTTAACTTGTGCTTACGTTCATGCTTGCCCTTGTACTAACATTGCCATGGTTTGTTTTTTATTATCTTGCTCTCATGCTTGTCCTGAAGGTGCAAACTGGCTTGACAAAGAGCAAGGAAAAATTATCATAGAAAGTCATTATTTTCTTTTGCCCAATTTAGACGAGCATCAGTCTTTTAACACTCACAAACACTTGTAGCGGTAGTGTATAAAATCCAAGTGGATGCGGTAGTGAAGGACCTGTTTTCTTCCCACCTGCCTGCTTCCCAGACAGGAGGGTAGGGGTGCTCTGCAAAGTTTTGTAAGGGGAGGCTCTGCCCTAACATCCAACCTCTTAACCTTTTGTATACCACTGGGACAGGATAGGTACCCCTTTCGTATATCTTTGGTGGAAAAAAAGGTGTCTCTTTCACACTCTTTCATATCTGGCCCTTATTGTGAATAAAATGCCAAAAAAGGAAGTCTTATTGTCATTTTCACGTAGTGCTTAAATGATACATCCGTATGCTGCGTCTGTTTGCAATATTTCAATTTAAGACCCTTGTGGATAACTAAATTATACAAGAGACTATGATCAGATCATATTATTTAGTCTCTTGCTCCATAACAGATTTCCTTACCTTTTAGTTTTCTCCAACTTGTGAAATCCCTACCTTTTATATACCTGAAGTCTGAAAAAGGTACTTCCCCCGGTGTCTGCTTATGGAAAGCTCCTACCCCCACCGGATGTCGGTAGACTGTAAATAGTTGCGTCCCTTTTATGCATGCAGATGTGGTTGAGTCTATAAATATGTGTCAGTGAGAGCCACTGTTCTTTCTACAAACCATCAATCCCTCTGTTTTCTTACATTCATTCAGAATTTAATAGTGAATTCAGCCTGTGAGTTAAGAGACTAATCACAAAGCTAATAAGCCCAACTCGTACCCAGAGCCCGCGCCCCACTTTGGTACGATATTGCGTGACTTTGTTAAAAAATTTGCATAATCCTCTTCCATACGCTTTAGTCTTTTGAAGTAAGCACCAACTTGGCGAAGTCGTATAACATACAAAATCCTACAACACCAAAACAAACCTCGCAATCTTTATGCAGCACAGAAAGGATTTAATTGCTCAGAAACTTGGGCTAATTCCCGTGCCATTTGGAGGATACTTCAAAGAAACATTCAGATCGCCTGAAACGGTACAAATTCCCGGACGAGAGGGGAGCGAACGAAATGTATTCACCACTATTTACTTCATGATGTCACCTGAACAGGGAGGAAAAAACTATTTACTCAGCAACAAGAGTGACACCACACACTATTTTCACGATGGATGGCCAGCATACTACATTCTTGTTTCTCCAGAAGGCAAAATTGAGGAGCATATCTTGGGGCGCGACGTTACGAAAGNTTTGCAATATTTCAATTTAAGACCCTTGTGGATAACTAAATTATACAAGAGACTATGATCAGATCATATTGTTTAGTCTCTTGCTCCATAACAGATTTCCTTACCTTTTAGTTTTCTCCAGCTTGTGAAATCCCTACCTTTTATATACCTGATATCTGAAAAAGGTACTTCCCCCGGTGTCTGCTTATGGAAAGGTCTTACCCCCACCGGATGTCGACAGACTGTAAATAGTTGCATCCCTTTTATACATGCAGATGTGGTAGAGTCTATAAATATGTGTCAGTGAGAGCCATTGTTCTTTCTTCAAACCATCAATCCCTCTGTTTTCTTATATTCATTCAGAATTTAATTGTGAATTCAACGTGTGAATTAAGAGACTATTCCCAAAGCCAAAAAGCCCATCTCGTACCCAGAGCCCGCGCCCCACTTTGGTACGAGATTGCGTGACTTAGTTGAAAAATTTGCATAACCTCTTCCATACTCCTTAGTCTTTTGAAGTAAGCACCAACTTTTCGAAGACCTATAGTATACAAAATCCTGCAACACCAAAAAAAACCTCGCAGTCTCTATGCAGCACAGAAAGGATTTAATTGCTCAGAAACTTGGGCTAATTTCCTTGCCATTTGGAGGATACTTCAAAGAAGCATTCAGATCGCCTGAAACGGTTCAAATTCCCGGACGAGAGGGGAGCGAACGAAATGTATTCACCACTATTTACTTCATGATGTCATCTGAGCAGGGAGGAAAAAACTA